TTTTTGAGTTAAACATGGCAGAGAAAAAGTTTGACTATTGAGGGCCGTTGCATAGAGTAAGAGCCGAATTCATAGTCCTTTCTAATTTCAAACTCACACTCATATCCTACTAATTGCAACCTAAGCTCTGACATTGGTATTCAGAAACAAATTGGACCCAATGATACCTAGTGGTAAAAATTTTACTGTAAGACTATACCTATCCGGGCCTCACATATTCTCACACCTAGGTCTTGACTCTGGTTAGTCTCAAACTAAAAACACCTTTTTACACGAAAATCAGGCGTAACCCCTGATCTTGCTTCCATATTGAAATGGAAAGTCAAAATCTAGTGACAAAACGGATTACCGAATTCTGCAAAATTCTCACCAGATTCTTAATCCACTATTACATTGCTTAAGCGTCGAATCTGTAATAGAAGCCCTGCAGATTTCTATGGGGTATTCTGGTATGTTTCCGAGTTCCCGGAAAACTTCCCTCCTACCATGAGGGAAAGGTGTTTTGCCATCGGATGTGGTATTCCGTTAACAGAAAGTAACCTGTCAAAGGGTTCGAAAATTAAAGGATCTTCGGTAGGAATAAAACACGGGATACCACGGTTGAAATACCCAGAAAAGGGCTAGAAACCACTCCTTCTGCCTTATCTTTATTAATTTTTTCAAGAGTCCTCAGCATTAAAGTAAAAAGAGGGAAAACTCTCCAATTTAGTGTAAAAGTATTTACCCCGAAAGCTTTCGGACCAGCAAACAAATTGATATCTGCAACACCAAATCTCTCTGAAGGCAACATTTTCAAGACCATTCCGTCTCTTGGGGTTCCTATCGCTTTATCCAAAGAGAATGCTAGCCACCTTTGATTATACGGTCAGATGTTTCATAATGCTCTATAAATATTAATTAATCCAGTTAAATTGTATTTTTACCAGGAAAGTTGTGGGGTAGTTTTGATTTCTTTGATTCTATATGTTTTTTGGGGTGCTGAATCCGAATCTGAGGTTTGCCAACAAAATTTCATGACGCAACATTGAAAAAAATACAAAAGAAGTTGAAAAATATATTTTTTTGGCAGTTTTGTGCTTACAACTTGAAAACTATCACCTTTTCGAAAATAGCCTTCCTATTCAAAATTAAAGTACATATAATTTCCTACAGATTCCACTATTTAGTTTTTTTTCCTCGATAAACCGTTCGGGCTCAAGCGCCAGTTGAAAATTGGCGTATTTCGGCTGTCTCCACAAAACATAGTTTTTTCGCACTAAAACCCTACATTAATATTAAGCAATAAGTGAATTCCTTGCATTTACCTACTATTATTTGAATTTTATATGTAAGGGTGGTTTTTTCTCATTTTCATAACGTTCAAGGTGTTTATTGTAGTCCAGAATGGTATGAAAAGTTAATTTCTAACGAACAACAGTATATCATATTATTATATTATTTATAATACTTATATTGTGCTATCTAAAATTATTCCCACTCTCTTCCGAACCAGATAAAGAAATCACCTCGGAAATCACAAAACCCTACCGTAGCATGTTTGGATAATTATTGTTGAATTTGGGAAAGTGGCGCTGTGGTCATTATTAATTAAAAAAATTCAAATGGCAAAAGGGGTAAATTGATTTCCTATTCAACGGAATTATCCCTCTTGCTCCAGTGTTCTGAAGAATCACGTACTTACTCCAGCTTAAATTTCTCTGCTATCAACTGAACCCGATTTATTTCTTTTTTGTTTACATGTTAACCAGCGACAAAAAGCGAGTTCATGATTTTGGACTGTCCGTCCGTCCATCTGTGTAACTTTGTGAGGGTGTGTATGTATGTGTATGGGAGAAGGGCCTCGATAGGTCAAAGAGTAACGTACTCTTTGCGGAGGTACACGGTGACGTAATGGGCCTTGGCTCATCTGTGAAGGAGTGGGAGAGTTTTATACCAGACGGAACTGTTATAAAATCTTTTGAGGAGACCGGTAGACAATGAAAAGTACGGATTTATATTGGCACAGAATAATAATAAAACAATAATAAAAGATGAGTATTTGCGGATACAGCCGAAATACGCCAATTTTCAACTGGCGCTCGAGCCCGAACGGTTCATCGAGGAAAAAACTAAATAGTGGGGTCTGTAGGAAATTTTATGTACTTTCATTTTAAATAGGAAGGTTATTTTCGAAAAGTTGATAGTTTTCAAGTTGTACGCACAAAACTTCCAAAAAAATATCTTTTTCAACTTCTTTTGTATTTTTTTCAATGTTGCGTCATGAAATTTTGTTGGCAAACCTCAAAATATGGGAAACGATGCCTTTTTGATATTTTATCGTTACAGTCCGCCACACAACACTTTTTACGCTCACATAACTTGTTCCTATTTTAAATCTTTCAAAAGTCAAAATTGACATGTGTAAAACCATGTGTACGTATAAAATTGACGATAAAAATATTTCCTGTAACGAGCAAAATTACAGGTTTTGCAAAAAAATATTTGAGTCTGCGATAAATAGTTCTCCGTACAACCACGGGAAACGCTGTAATCAGTGACAATTTAGCGCCATTTATGTTTCTGTTCTGTGAAGGTCTTATTCTGTGGACAACTGCTTCACTTGACATTTTATTTAATGTCAACTGTCAACCCGATAAAAATCGTTCGAAAGGCGATCTTCCTATGAACATGAATTGCCAATTTTAGTCGGCCCGATCAATGTGGATACGACTACAGTTGGACCGATTCTCGTCGCCCCGATTCGGTGGACATCCGGCCTTAAAGTGGCTACTCAACTCAACACGATGCAAGTGCTTACGCCTATTCTGTTGTGATATTTTTGAGATCTGAACCCCCTTCTGAAGCCAATATTCAATTGATCTTCCACAGGTGTACTTACCCTTAAAGAAAATGAGCATTCCTACATTAGAGCTAATGGCTGCTACCATTGGAGCCAAATGACGTCCTACTGTTTTAGAAAACTTGGATTTTCGTAATGTTCCTGTGTTGTGCTCGCCAGATTCCAGAACTGTGTGGTCTTGGATATGAAAGGAAGACCAATGGAAAACTTTTATCTCGAACCGACTCCAGGAAATTGGAACTTTAATAAAGTGTGGAGAGTGCAGAGTGTAATCCTCCAGACTTACCTTCGAAAGGTTTGCTCTTCAAAGAAATTGTTGGAGTGAAAATGGTGGGAGGTTTCTTTTTGACTGTATAAAGATCCTTTGGAGTGGCCTATAGTCCAGGCTATACATATAATATTTCTTTTACAAAAAAATTAGTTAGCAGTTCAAACCGGGTTTTTCATGCTGGTGAAATGATTAGAAATTGGGGGAAAATAATTAAAACAGCTGAATTTTTCCGCGGGTGAAATCACGGGAGTTGAAAGGGGTGGAAACTGGTATTTTGCAATTTGTGGCAAAACTGTTAATTTTAGCCGAAAGTGTTCAATATAAAAGTTATAGAGAATGACAAATCTCACGATTTCTGAAAAAAACCATGTAAAATCTGGAATAAACTTCGTGAGGATTTTATTCATAATTCCTGTAAATTAACGATCAACAGGCCCAGATTAATCGTATCAGCTGTAACACAGCCAGGAAGAAGAGTTAGTGAACAAAAACAAATTGTTCAGGAAGCAAAAGAATTCGATTTTACTTCGAATTGCTTTTATTGCGGTAAAAATGCTTGAAAAAAGCGTAAAAAAGATGTTTTAATTATGGCAGTTGGGCACTAGGAAACAAAAGAAAATATTTTAGCAACATAAAGAGGAGAGAGAAGACCGGTTTCAAAAACTTTTTATTAACGCGGATCGAATACGTTAATTTAGTTGCAAAAAAAGCTATTTACCTACTGTCAAAAACAGCGTATTCTTAAAACTGTTCCCCCAGTTTTTGCCGTTTTTCTTAAAATTTTTCTATTGGAATAATATTTTTTATTTTTGATTATTAAAATGTAGGTCCTTACGAAAATGTTTCTATCCCGCGCACATCTGTGCAATGAAAAAAATAGATTTTTCATCCCCTTGAAAGAGGCGGTTTTTTTCAGAAATCGTGAGAACTTGGAAACGGTTCAACTTTACGGGCCCAAAAAATTATCTCCTTTTTTATTATAAAACAAGCTATGTTTCCTCCAAATTTCAAACCCCTACGACTTTTTTCGCAAAAATAAGAATAAAAACGATAAAAACAGTTTTTCCGGTTTTTCTAGGAAAATTGGAGGTTAGGTATGTGAAAATAGTGCAGATACAAAAGTTGCTCTCTTTTAAACTCTATCTTTTACATTGAAAATTTTCGTCTAAAATTAATACTTTTTCCACAATTTGCGAAACACCACTTTCCACCCCTTTCAACCCCCGGGATTTCACCCGCAGAAAAATTCAGCTGTTTTAATTATTTTTTCCCAATTTCTAATCATTTCACCTGCCTGAAACCCCAGTTTCGCCCAGTAACTAACTGTTTTTGAAAATAAATTATTTTAGGGCTATTTAGCCTGGACTACTAAGCAAAATTATGAAGTAGAAGAAAACAGCATTGCAGAAGAAAGAGGGAAACATGTTAATAATTACTAGTAAATCACACCATTAGGTACTTCCGATTGGTAAATATTACAGATATTGTTCCAAATACCAACAAATATTTAACTTGGTGGCATATGAACCAGAGGATCTACGTCAAAGCAGCGAAGTAGATAAAAGGCTTGCGTAGTTCATGATGTAGTTTTCGAAGTTCCTTCTCGAAGAAGATTAATGACAATGTTAGCTAACACATGCATATTTGTACATACATAATGGATAGTGGAATTTTTTGTAACTGTTTATTGTATAGGTTATTCAACTATACATGCTTATATTATTTTATAAATTACTTTGTATTATATTACCCTACATTAAAGAAATGTGTGCTAGTTACCCTAGCTGTCATGCTTTTTAAAAAAAAACTAAGTAGGTTTAAACCCCCTCTAGGTATTTGGCACTATTACACAACAATGGACCACGATTTACGACGATATTACAAACAGTGTTTAGTACGTAATGTCAGACTTTCATATATTTACAACGGTCATTTTTCTATTTTCTTACACTATCTATTATACTGGTGACTAACTAATTACCTACATAATTTTTTTAAATATGTACACAAAAAGAAATATGGCCATAGGTAAGGTATATGTGTATAACAAAATAAATAGATATATAGTCTCTCAAGTATGACACTGTTGTGTGCATTAATTAAAAGGCACTACGATAATTGTTAAAGAGAGTCAAATCCGGATGCATCGTCGCTACCCTGCAACAAACTTTATTAGTATATAGTTAGTATCGCGCTGCGTATACCCTATCCCGTTTATATAAATGGGTGTGAGGTAGTAAAAAGGTTGAACCAACGTCACGCTCGGCCATAGTGTTGGCTTCCTGAAAATACGAATTTTTAATGAGCAATTGCCGTTATGTGCTGTTGATTTTTGTACCTAATCGTTATATGCTAGTATTATTATAAAATGTTAGATGTCATTAAAGCCCCATCATTCAGAAGGGTGTGATGAGATGAGAATACACTACCTCACCTCCAAACCGTTTGAAATACAAATTAAAACTCTTCCATTCGAACTTATTTCACATATTTTGAGGTTAAAAATTGACACATCACAACCGCCATCTTGAATTTTTTTAAATGGCAACATAGATCATGAGATCGTCATTAGAAAGCATACATGTTTCTGGTGCTTAGAAAGAGAAAAAATAAGCTTTCTAATAACGTATCACATGATCTATGTTGTCATTCAAAAATTCAAGATGGCGGTTGCCCTCAAAAAGCATGTGCCCAAAAAAATTTTTAACCTCAAAATATGTGAGATCATTTCAAGTGGAAGCGTTCTAATTTTAATTTATAGAGAGCTTTGGTTTCATCGTTAATAACAACCCTGTATATACTGCAAAATTCAGATGCGTTTTTTTGGCATTATTTATACGTCAGTCTGTCGTGATTGTGTAAATTTTTTGGCCCACCCTTCCATTGAAATATAATTTCCAGGATATACGAAAGCTGAAAGTAAGTCCCCACATTTTAGACAAAGGAAATAATTCTTGACTAAAGATTTTTTTATGCAGTATGGCGAGTTGCTAGTGGGGAAATGACATAGTAAACTACACTTTTTTAATTCCTGTCCCTCATTTCAACCTAGAAGACTTTTTCTTATGGCTAATTTAAAGTGTTTTTCTACTATTATTGTTAGTTAAAACAAGAGGCATACATCGTTTTGATTCTGCGACAAAGATTTTGAATCATATACGTTACGATACGATTTGGTAGGTACATGGATTGTTGTTTCGTCACAAGAGCGTGCCTCCGATACGGTGCTAAAAAACAGTACTTAAGTGTATAGCAAATTTTTCATACGTCGCACACTCACGTGGTAATTTTTGGTGCCAAATCCAGCCAATTTGATAGCGGATCCTCGGTGTTGTCTCTAAAAAAACATGTAGGTTATTTAGGACGAATCAATTGGGGAATACGTACAGTATAGACTTTCTAAAAGTAGTAAACTGTGATTGGCTTCCTGTACTCGACAAAATATCGGCGGCGCTGATTTTCTGAATAAGGGTTGCATTCTCGCTGCGATCTGCTTCGGTTCCGCACGTTGTGGCAATGGTGCCCAACGTTCCGCAACCTACAGTTGCTGATACCTCAAAACCAGCAGAGATCAAAGCACCTAAATGGAAGAAACAATAAATCAGTGCAAAGTGTGTGTTTGGTTTTACCTCCAGGCATCTGCCTGTCTTCCAAGTATGGTTCACTGCGTGTTTTGCTGTGCTTCCGTTTTGCGTCGATCTAAAGTGATTCGGTTTATTTAATCGTGCAATCACAAGAATACTACCTTATTGGGATAGGGTCCAACGTCCAAATAGCTTAAAAGTTTAGTTTCATTACTGCTTGCAGCTGAAGATTTTCTTTTCTCAATAGGAACCATGCTAACGCACGGTGGTTGTATCGGGTGGTACTTTGCTCGAGGAATAACAACAGGAAGAGAGTTATTAATTTTATCTGGAGCAGAATTATTTTCCTTTGACTTTTTCATCGCGGCCTTCTGTTGTTTGGGATTCTGCAAGCTACTGTTAAAATACCCCATAAACCTGTTTAGTATACCTACTTTTTCCATAAAATTTGGTACGTGGATATCTGAATGACTACTCTCCGAACTGGTGTCTTGGATCATTAATCTCCTATCCATTGTTCCTCTCCGAACCATAGGGACGGCAAGTCTTTGAGGAATGAAGCTTAAGTTACTGACTACGCGCGGTGGATGACGCGATTTCTTTCGGCAGCAGGTTAAAGCGCAGCAAACAATTAGCAAAACGAGTAATAAAACGCCTAATGTCCCCAATGCTATCAGTAAAACTGCAAGAAAACCCAAGATTGAGCGTTGATCAATAGATCTTATCCTTACCTTTTAAGTTGATGTGACAGTATTCACCAGTATACCATTGAAAGCACTCGCACAACACATCGCCGGCCCCCCTAGAGTAACAAGTGCCGTGGTAATGGCATCTCTCGCACCCAACCGATTCCGCCGAACATATACGTCCTGGGTAAATCGGATTTTCGGAAAGATCCGAGAAACCCTCTTTGCAGCTGCAGGTGTACGTGCCGACCATATTGAAGCAGTGCGCATGGTCTGAGCAATCGTGATACTTTGTGTATTTGCACTCGTCGAAGTCTTCAACGACCAAGCCTTCCAGGTATTCTTTGGATGCGTGTAAATCGGTACCTCCCAAGCTGTAATTGTTCTTCGCGAGGTACGTCTTGAAAACATCTTCCAATTCCGCTTGCTCCGTATTTTCGGATAACTGAAAGGTATTAAGTAATGTTTTTACGAATAGATTTTTTACAAAAAGTGTAACAGATACTCGCTGTAGGCTTTAAAGATTTTTTGTTAAACTTAGAGAATTGCCGATATAGGAAATTTGTATACGTGTACCGCTTCATAAGAAAAGAGAACGGAGAACGAAACTAATAGGCGAGAAAATGAAGCGCGTTAAGATAAAAAACGAGTGTTCAAGTAGATAAGAGTCAAAACGCTACAGTGTTGCCGATTCTAAAAACCATCGTGACGGAGAATGAATGGCGGTGTTTGTACTATCCCTTCACATGTTTATAAAAGCACATTTTTGTGTGGAAGATCAGTGTTTTATTAGCAGTATTCACTCCACAATCAGTAAAATCTTGTCGGGGGCTACCATATTCCCTTTGTGGGTACCCACTTCCGATGTTCAGTGCACTCGCAACTCGCTTTTGAAGTTTTGACTCCATATCCTTATAAGATCTCGTCGGAAGCAACCATTTTCTCTTTGTCGGTACCCACCTCCGACATCCTGTTCACCCGCAATTCGAGTTTGAAGTTTTGACTCCACCATCAGTAAAATATTATCGGGGGTTATCACATTCTCTGTGTCGGTACACAGTTCCGACGTCCCGTTCACTCGCAATTCGCATTTTGGTGGATTTAGCTAAAAACCCGGGACAAAATAGTACTCAATTTTTGGGTACTTCTCTTAGCTCGAGCTTGTATTGGCGACACAAGAAAGAGAAACCGCGATTCGGGCTTTAAGAAACTTTTGGGCGCCCAAAGTCGACTACCCCTCGAAGCGCGCCGTGCAAAAGGTGGTTCATTTCGCCCTTAGGAAAAAAACAATTCCGCCACGCAGGAATTGGGCGCGTTGACAAGATCTTTCGGACGACACCTATTTGAAAACAATCGAAGAAAAACTGTAGAAACTGAAAAATCTCCATGTTAGTATAACACGCTCTGGGGATGGCGCCCAGATATCACCGACCCCAAATCTTGTAGCCTCGTCCCCTATATGGCCACGATAGGTACATGTACACACCTCGTCTTTTTACAAGCGTTCTTCTACGGGATCGCATTTACTGCCAGCCAGCCAGCCAGCCAAAATGAGATTAAAAGCTACCTTTTTACAAATAAATTTGCCAAAATGCGCTACAAAGAGTAAACGCTTGGGTTTCGTTGAAGTCGTTTCATCATTCGAGCTCGGCGAGTACATAAGTAAAAATTGGGCGAGAGAAAGGGATTCTTAGCCAAATTTTCCGGACGAATATATGTAGGTTATTTTTCGATCGCGTATTAAATTCCTACCCAAACTTTGGAGGTAAGCGAACTAATGCGTTCCGTAGTATTATCGGATTACCGTGCCCGCATTTAAATAAATTGCCCACCACCACAGAAGCGTTGGGGTCCAAGATGCAAAAAGTTCTTTGCGGATATACAGGGTGGCGCACGATACGTCACTCGATTGAATTTAATTACTGTTGGGACACCAGCATTCAAATACGACGCGCAACGTCGTGTAGTTCATGGAAATTACCCCATATACCGTTACAAAGTCACTAAATATAGAAAGTACCGCAATCCATTGGACTCGTGTGTTAGAGAGAGAACGCACGATTTTTTCCTAAAAATGGCGGAAATTACCAGATTTTAGTAACTTTAATGTTAGGGATTGTTCCACCTGTTTGGAGATATCTGTATATATTTTTATAAAACATGACAGTACTATGAAGTTAGGTTATAAAAAATTACAGCTATTCAGATTTTATTTGTCAATTTTTTTAAGTTGGCAGCGAATTTGCCCAAAAATGGCGGATGATTGCGGTACTTTCTATATCTAGTGACCTTACTCATACCTTTCGTTATGACTCATGCGATTTTTTTCCCGGAAGGGTTCCTTAAAGAAAAGGTCTAGCACAGGAAACCCGAAAATGCTGTGCCATCGTTGAAGAAAATTTGTGTCGTAAACTAATCACAAACGCACGAGTGCGATTTCAAGAAGTGGTAAATCAAAATGTCGGACATATTGAACATGTTACCCATTAGGTACGTTTTTTCAAGTTGTATTTCTTTACTTTAGAAAAATAAAATACAAATTTTGTCACAAACAAATGTGTTATTCAGAAAACAAATCGGGTAACATATCATGCGCCATCCTGTGTTTGGAGCGGTTGGTTAAACGTTTAAAAAACAAGTTTGTTAATAAAACTGTGCACCTCTCTCCTGTATACGGGATATTATTAGATCTACATTAAATGGCAACCGGTAAAAAGGTTAAAGACAATTAATTCGTGCTTTTGTTGGTTGTCAAAAGAGCAATTTTGGACATGTCCACGACATCTCCATACATTGGTAAATTATTCCAGTAGATAAACCAAATTTCTACCATTAAACTTCGAGAAACCTAAAGCACGGGTTGTCCCGTATTCAAATTGTCAACCAGCTTTTGAGATTCGCTTTCAACGAGTACACCTGGCGATAGAAAACGTTGGATTGTATCGTATAAACTATAAGGCATTCCACGATCCAATTTACTAAATTACTGCTACTTTTCTAAAAGAGAAAATCAGCTGTGGATTGGAGAAAATTTTGATTCATCGAATAATGTAAGATTTTGAATTGAGTCGATTTTTGGGGGGATTTTGTATAAAGATTTATGCTTAAAGTCATTACAACATTCCTGAAGGGGTCGACCCACGAGAATTTATAACAAATTTGTGTATTTTTATGAATGATAAGATATTGGCAAGGGCACTTCGTCGTGTAGTGAAAATTAAGGGCCAGCGAATTTATTTTCAACGGTCAATGGTGCGAAGTCTGAAAGCGTAAGCGAACTAATGCGTTTCGTAGTGTTATCGGATTACCGTGCTCTCATTTAAATAAATTATCCACCACCACGGAAGCGTTGGGGTCCAAGGTGCAAAAAGTTTATCGCGGATATATTTCGAGCGGTTGGTTAAACGATTAGAAAATAAGCTTGCTAATCAAAACTGCGCATCTCTCTCGTGTATACGGGATGTTATTAGATCTACATTAAAACGCAACCGGTAAAAAAGTTAAAGACAATTAATTCGTGCTTTTGTTGGTTATCAAAATCCTAAACGATTAGAGTAATTTTAGACATTTCCACCGACAGTTCCATACATTGTAAATTATTCTAGTGAATAAACCAAACCATTAGACTTCGAGAAATCTGAAGCACGGTTTGTTCCAGATTCAAATTGTCAACCAGCTTTGGAGACTCTCTTTCAACGAGTAACAAATTGCGATTGAAAAGGTCCGATTGTATTGTACTAGGCGTTCCACCATCCAATTTTCCCAATTGTTACTACCCTTCCAAAGAAGAAAGTCAGCTATCAAGTTATTTTGAATTTAGTCGATTTTTTGGGAATTTTGTATAAAAGATTTGCACTTAAAGTCATAACATTCCTGAAGAGGTCGACCCACGGGAATTCATCCCCCTGAACAAATTTGTGTATTTTTATGAATGATAAGATATATTGGTAATTTTGTTCTCATGAATTGTGAAATTGAATTTTAAGTGTGGATTAAATTGTATTTAGCATCTAAGGGCGTGTAAATTTATTTTGAATAGAGGAATACGAGATAAAGAACCAACCTTCCGCAAGGTAAGTGTCATTGAAAGTTTATTAATTACTGAGCTAGCCGTGGTAATAATTATTTCATTACAAACAATTAATTGTTATAGTAAAGTTTTTACCAGTGCCGTAGAGAATATAATTTATTTTCTACAAGAGGGGATTCCAATCCCTATAAACTGAGCCGTTCTAAAGGCTAGATTTGTAATGAAATAACGCAGGGTCCTACTTGATCTTAACGTCTTTTCCCGAAAACAGGTAAATGGAGTTCGCGCAAACTACTGTCTGCTGTCGCTTTCTCTATACCACCGCTGTGGTAATCACAAAAAGCGTCTCTCGAGCATCTCCCGAGCTGATGAGGTAAAGTGGGGTGAAGACGTTGGTGATTTAAAAAGTAGTAGCAAAAGGGCAGGTTCAAATTATAAGGATTCAACCGAAATAGTCTTTTTTACCTGCAAATGAAATTCATTGGCAAGGACTCCATCCCGACCAAAAGGTTCATAGCCGTGAACCTTCACCCCATGGTAGACATCTCGCAGATCCGACTGCATTACCATGCGATCCAGGCCTTCGTAGGTTAATCTGGCCAGGCGATTAAACTCCGTGGAGTTGCTGTCAGATAGGGAGTCGTTATACCGCAACTTTTCTCTGCCATTTCTGTCCAACACCAGCTTGACACTGTACGTGTAGGTGGCTGAAAGAGATGAGGTTAATGCGATTGTAGGAAACGCGAGGGACATAGTTACGTTTGCAGGGGTGGTCCAAAAACATTCGCGCGAATCCCGGCCGACAGACGCACCTCATTAAACCGTTAAACTTTTGGCACAATTCGTTCTTGGTGGCTTTGCATTCCGGATTACACTTATCCCGATTTTCGTACTCCTTGGTGTCCAAAATCGGCGGGGAGTCGATCAGTATTCCTCCTAGCAAAATGTGATTGATTTCGTTCGTCGGGATTTCGTCCCTTAAATCCGTTTCCAGCTCGGGAACGTTGACGATTTGGGCGTTTTTCTTATCGGTCATCACGACCAATATGGAATCGTTATCCTTGTACGAATCGTCGCTCGCGTTGTTTCCTGGCTTGAGCGGCGGAGGGTCCGTGTCGCGAATAATAAAGTCCTCAAGGTCATCTCGGGTTACCGCCACCAAGGAAGGGGTGACGGATTCTAAAGTTGGAGTAGAACTAATCGTTGAAAAGGTAACATCCGAAGGGTGGAGTGTAGGGGAATGATTTATAGTTGCTGTAATTGTTTCTGTTACGCTGGTAGGTTGCAGAAGGGTATGAATCTCGGTTACTGTATCGAGCTTTGTTAATTTTTCAGTTGTCGTTATTAGAATGGTCATGGTCGACGGAAGACCACCTAGGGTTTCCGAGACGGTTGTTCTGGTTATTGTAATCGTGGTAGTTTCGGTGTGCGTTAAAATTTTGCTGGGCAAGATTTCGATGGTTGGTAAAGGTTTGATCGTGAGTGTAGGTTTAATCGTTGTGGAATTAGTTGAAGTAGTTTTTGCGGAAGACACGGATGGCAAAGTAACACTGTTTCGTTTCTCCGTTTCAGTAACTAAAGTTGTTGATTTAGTGGTCGAGTTGGTGATTGGCTTTTTCGTTGTTGAAGTGACGGTTGTTTGTTCTTGGGTTCGTGTAGTACTTGCAGTGGTTGCTTCAGTGGGCTTAGTTGTCGGTCTCCGTGAAACCATTGGTCTTCTTGTAGTTGTTCCTATTCTAGGAGGGGGTATTTCAAAAGTGTATGGGTGAATAGGTCGAGGAGGATTAATTTCAAGTGAGTATGTCGGCCTGTACGTTGTGATGGTCGATTTATATTCCGAAACCTTTTTTGTCGTTGGTGGGTAACTTAACGGAGGTGGACGTAAACCGACAACTTTCGGTGGAATTACTGATGATTGGATACTAGCTTGACCGTCAAGGTCTAATGGATCTTGCTTCTCTTTATTTGTTGTTTTTAAGTTGATAAGGGGCGGTGTTATTAATGGGGGTGGTTGCATAATTGCTATGTCAGAGTCAAAACTGTCAGGACTTGGTGCAAATGTTGTGGCATTAAAATGTGGCCGAGATATGTTCTGCATTATCACCTCGTAAGGTTTTACCTTCGGAAACGTGAAAGGTTTTTCAGTTTGCAAGCTTAAACTCGGCTTCATACTGTTTGGCAACGTAGATTGGACGTTTACGGGCATGGAAGTCACGTACAATTTCTTCGTAGTAGGCACCTTCTCAGACGTTGTCGAAGGCGCAACTTTGGTACTACTTTCCGGCATCGTCTCATTATTAACATTTCTGTGTGTATCTGCATTTACACTGCCCTTTTGACCATTGACGTGTACGTTCCCGTCAATGTAAACATGCTGCTCGAAAGGTCTTGGCACTTGTATTATTGGCTTGGGAACATAAGGCCGATAATGACCAAAGTGAGAAACTGACGCATTGTTATAAAGTTTCTCCAATACCTCCAGAGGAACCTGGCCAGGTCGAAGTGGTCGCGATATAGACTCCTGAACAACTTCTCCATCTTCGTTTAACAAATCGTCTTCCTTGTGATAACCTTCGAAATCTCCAGTTGAAGATGAAATAGAGTTCGGCGGCCTAGGCGCATCGTAATGGATCGGTATTTGCTGTCTGTGGAAGGGCGGACGGATCTGTGGTGAAACTTTCGGTGGAGTTAAATACTCATTGAGCTCATTGCTCGGTACACGATTACGATATCCATTCTGTCTCTTGGAACCATCTCGTATGGGACTCGATGTTTGTTGACTAAACGGAGGCCTGCTGACGAAGAACAATGGGTCCGGATTATCTAAGTAAACAGTTCCTTCATTTTCTTGCCCGTAGGAGTTAGATGAATTGTAGATCCCTATCTTTTGACGCACTCCGTGCTTAAAAGGCTCTAGTAAGTTACTTAAAACTAAATTTGGACGCTCGGGATATGGTAGAGGCGGCGGTTGTAACATCATTTCTTCGTGTTTAATGATATGAGCATTAAAGTCTCCCCCATTCTGGATTATTTCAAATGAGATCGGGGCCGAGCTAGTAATTTCTTTCGCCGGTTTTGACGGCATGATTAAGATTGGTCCAGGGACAGATATCGGATTCTTGTTGATTGTTTCGCCGCCCACTCTGATATATCCACCGACTTGCTTTTGATTCGGAATAACAAATGACGGCTCTCTATGAGTCGTCAGTTGTTTATGCACCGAAAACTCTGGTGCCGCATGCGGTGCGGGATCGTCAAAGTATTTCCCATTTTTGTGCAATTCCGTAGATCCTCCGTACAATAGCGCAGTGGTTCGATTAAAGGGAATATTGATCAAGGCAACTTGAGACGGTTGCAAATTGACCAAAAGTGGTTGACCTGTAGATCTTTCGATCACCTCCGGAAATAGTAGGGGCTGTTTCATTATCGGCGATTCAATTTTGAACTCGTGAACAGGTTTCGACACAACCGGCGTTTCAAACAGAATGTGGGGTTCTTGCCGAATTGGTAAAGTATGCCTATGCTTCTCGCCCCGAATGAAGCTCTGTGGTCTCAAAGAAATATCGGGCTCGGGTGGCGGTCCCAGATACTCCTCGTTTCGGGGCGGTTGAGCCCACACATTGTTCTGGTTCAGCGGTATAGACGGTATTCTCGGCCCGATCCGTCCCGGTTTGCCCACAATTACATCCGAATTTGCAGTAATAACTTGACCTGGTGATATTGGAATTCCTCCATTCATCAATGGAGCCTCCTGTGGGCTTATCTCGTTTTTAACTTCCCATTCATTTATATGAATAGTCGCAAGATTTTGGCTTTCCGCAATCTCAACATCAGCAACCTGGTCACCGATGGGTATATAAATAGGCGAACGATTCTGTGCGTCTGCAGATGGTGGGGGAGTGGTGGTGAACGTATTGCTTCTGTTTGCGTTCTTAATATTCGTCTTAATTAAACCGGCCATTGCATTTATCACAGGTTTGAGCACCTGAAAGGTGTTAATTGAACCTAAACCTAACAAATCCGGAATCTCGGTTGGCTTGGAAATTTTTCCCTTGGTCTTTTTGCTTGGAGGCTCAGGTGTAATTTTGCTCTGCGGAGTTGTTTGCAAGACTAATGGGCTAGTTGAAACATGGCGTTTCGTTGGCGTCGTGTTCTTTTTCTTAACAATCTCCGTACTCAGCAAGAGACCCAAGTTGTTTTTAGTCGCAGTTTCACTAGCCGACAGTGCTGGTGTCGCCTGAGTCGAGTCGGCGAGTTCTTCCTCATCGAAAAATATAATAGTAGATCCGGTGATAACATGCGGATTTGAAGAATCTATAGTTGGTGTGATTGGGCGTGTAACAATTTCAGTTTTTTCTATGGGCAAAACTTTAGTAGGCACGATTTTTTTCTTATTGATCGCGGTAATGCGAAGTTTGTCCCCGTTAAGCAAGGTGGCGTGCTTTACAACTGTTTCCGTGCCCTTTTTAATGTCGCTTTTTAACGAGCTAACGAACAGTGGATCAAACAAGTTGGCGTTAATTGTCTCGGTAACGACGTTCTCAATTTCTCTTGTTTTTGAACTTACGATTGTCGATGTTACTTTCTTCTTATCCCCCTGAAGAAGCGTCGTCAGGGAGGTGTAGGTGGTGACGTACGTTTTGGTACTAAAAATTTGCAAGTCTACCTTGTTTTTCTTCTTTTCTTTAATGGTGCCAGTCATACTGGCGGTAGTTTTTGGTTTTAAAAACACTTTTTCGGTTACTACGTCCGTTGAGGTTGAGATGTTAAGTTTAACGGTGGGTTCGCCATTTTCTATCAATGAATTATAATAGGTGTATGTAACGTAATATGTTTTAACCACATCGGTTGTTAAAAGTTTGCTTGCGGGATCAAAAGAAGACACCGCCGTGGGTTTAGGAAGAGATGATTCGGTTATAACAACTTGGGTTACAAGCTCTTTGGTGCTCGTCACATGTAAACGGTCACCTTCTTGAAGTGTTTTCTTCAGATATGCCGTGCTGTAGTATGTATTGGTATCTTTAAAGGCGGACGCTTTGTCTAAAGGCTTTAGCAGTGACAGATAGTCGCTAGGGGCTGTGATTGTATTTGTAACAGTGTGCTTTGACGAAAGCACAAGGGGCTGATCTCCGTCTAGAACGGTGTTGAAATAGGTGTACGTGGTTTGAAAAGTTCCCGCTGCTAAGGTGGGCTGCTGAAAAGAAGAAATTTACAATTTAGAAACATTAATAATTAACTTGCACATGTACGGAACGATCCGCTGGTTGTTTTGGAGAGTAGGTATTTTATATCTATTATACAGTGTGTTCGAGACAATAGGGTTACCTAATATAATTTTGTATGCGACATCACAATCTATCAGTTCCGGTTAAACCGGAAATCAAGGCAACCTTTGCTTTTAAAATACCAATGTCTGTTCTTTTTAAGACCTTTTGGTCCAGGGAATAGAGACTTTGAATTTGCAAAATGAGAAGTAGTTCCAATTTCTTTTGCATGTCATAGACAGTGAGCTGGTGTTTAAGAATCTACCACCCCAAAAACCCTCGCAATTTGGTTGGTTTCTTAGTTTATCAGTTAAATCTTTTTAATGGTTAATATTGTTATCAGAAATTGTAGAACATAAAATTGTACACTGCTTTGTTATATAGGTACTACTTTTTTGTGAAGTATTTATTACAAAAGATATAAAACTTCAAAGTTGCATATATTTTAAAGAATTCTGAAATTTCGATGTAGATATTTTAACGAAATTTTATACCTTATGTCTTGAATTTATCGTGTGATAAATCCCTCCACTTTGCACCCCTATCGAAGGGGATGCATTGCATAATGATTCAACTTTCAACATCCTACTGGTGATATTTGAATCACTGTGATATTGTAGAACTGTCTAATATACCTTTGATATAAAAAATGGTCTCACTTCAGTTCCCCCCTCTCGGTCTAGTTTAACCCTAGTTTACTGGCCACTAAAACTTTCAAGTTTACGGGCGTGGGGTGGAACGAACCCCAGATAGAAAAGACTAAACTTGGAAGGTACTCGAGCTCCCAGGCCAAAATATTGAAAGAAAAAAAACTTATGGACATTGAAAGTGGCTGTGGGGTGCGATCCACCCCAGACCTGTAAATTAGGGTTAACCATTTCCACCCCCACCCAAGTGGAATGAATAATGGTTAAATAATCTGTTGATGATTGCTCGATGACACTTTGATATTAAACCAACAGTGAAAAAATATCAACAAATTATCCCCTATTTACCAGCTGCTCATTGTCTATATGGATGCGACACTGTAGCTCAGTACCACGGATTACGGAATTGGCAAAAAAATAATAATTAAAAAATTAGAAGAGGGTTTTACCTTTAAATATTTGGGTAAATTAGACAGTAATTTAAAAGATGTATTTAAAGAGTGTACCGATTTTTATGCAGCCTGCTATAACGTCAAATCCGTAGACAATATGACGGCTGAGAAACTGTCTGTTTGGGCTAAAAAAGTTGGACACTAAAAGCACCCTCATTTGCTTCTCTACCGCCGACGACCGAATCTTTTTGCGAAAATGTGAAAAGGGCGCAGCTTCAGATGTACTTCTGGATGTTTGCCCAAAACCTTGTTCTTCCTAAAATTGACGTCACACAATATGGATGGGAAAAAAATGACGAAAACAAAATTTTAAACCCAATTTCTGTCCCCAATAATACTAAATTGGCACCAGATTTTATTCTAAAGCTTTCTACATGTTCTTGCAAAGCTAATGACCCCTGCAGCTCGAACAGATGTGGTTGTCTATCAAATGGGTTGTCATGTAGCCTGATATGCAAATGCATGATGGATAAAAGGGACTAAAATAAATGTAAAAATCCACTAACAAAATTTGTGAAACTATGCAAAATGAATCAGAAAGCGAAGAATCGGACAACGAGTAAATGTATGTTTATCTGCAATATTTTTTTTTGCTTGCTTGTTATTTTTTGTTTAAAAATGTATTATATCTGTAAGTAATGTGTTTGTGTTTGAGTTAATATATTTATTTTTTTTGTTTTTTATTTTATTCAGTAGTTCCAAGTTCCCCCCTCAAGCAGCTCCCCCCCAAAATAATAATTAACAAATAGGAGTTTCTGTTTTAGTACCTATTTTGATCTGAAATTCGAGATTCTTATTCATAAAAACATATAAATCGATGTACGACTCGTTAATTTTGAAAAAATATAAAAACCAACCCCCCAAAAACACCCCCACTCCACCAAAACGCCCCCCAAAAATATTTTTAACAGAAAATTTGAATTCAGAAGGCTCAAAAACCCTAAAATCTATGCTATATGCCCATATTTTTTAAAACTTTAATTTTTGTATTTTTTTGCTGACTTTTTTGGCCGCCATCTTGAATTTCTCAAAATGCTCAAGGGTGTCAAGGTGGCATCAAACGGATTCTCAAAGTAGACATCCTTACGAACTAAAAACCGTCAAAAAACCTTCACCGTACCTCACTTTCAGGTTAAGCCAAAAATCCCAGTTTGGCATCCAGACTATAATGGCATTTCCGAATACAAATTTCAATTCAAAAATTTACTATATGACTTGTAAATTATGTTCGAAAAGGATCTTAAATAATTGTACAATATCACAACTAAATAGGGGGTTGAAATAATCATCCCTTTGTAAATAATAGAAGGGGTTAAATTAAAATAAGACGATTTCTTGTTTGATTATTGTGTTCGAATGCGCCATAATCACGCAGTGATTCAAATACTTAGGTACCACTATTAATAAGATATTGATAAGGATGCAGGGTACGGAAATTAATAGCATGACAATTTTATATTCGATATATTTTCTCACACGACTCATACAATTTCGCTAAAATGCATAAGAATTTCAGAATGGTTCCAAATACAGAACAACATGGATATCTTTGTTATTATTATACTTACAGATTCGGTTAAATTGGCAACGTTGTGTAGTTTTTTATGCTAATGGATATTCCGATGCGATATTTTGAAAAACACAAATCGTTTCGTAGATAATTGGAAAAAAGTGTGAATCGCCATTTTTAAAAAGTTCAAATAAAAGTTGGGAGAAATTCGATGGGTGTAGACAGAACATTTTTAAATGGCGTTTTTCGAGATATTGACATCAACTTCCTAATTATAAATGGAGGCCATATTGGATTTTTACGTCACTCGATAGACAAAAAATTACAAAACCAGTACACACCGTATTTCATTTGGTAATCAATCTTGAATTTTTAGTTTACAATGTATTTCATATGGCAATAATTCCATGGCCGTGTCGATGGTGACTATCCAAGACGATAAACGAACGAATTTGGTTTCATTCACAACCAGCCATGGAATTATTGCTATAAGAAGTACATTGTAAACTTCGAGGCAAAAATGCATCCATTTGAAATAAGGAAGTTGATGTGAATATCTCGAAAAACGCCAGTTTGAATATTTTTGTCTACGCCCTTTGAATTTATCCCGTCGAATCTTGCAACTTTTATTTGAAACTTTTTTCGATAACTCTCTTTGTTACTAAAAAATTTAAATTTTTAAAAATGGTGATTGTCATCATTCTTTTCTTTTTTCCAATTATCTACGAAAAATCGACTACACCAAAATTTCTCGGGAAAACACTTTTTCTTATTAATTTTGGTGCGTAAAATTCAAAACAATTCGTACTTTTTCGATCAGACTTCTTAATCAAAAGTTATAGACTAGAAAACACTTTTTCTTATTAATTTTGGTGCGTATCTGAACAATTTTTTCTTCGAGCCTCAAAAAAGGGCAATTCGTACTTTTTCGATCAGACTTCTCAATCAAAAGTTATAGACTAGAAACCAATTTCGAAAGAAAATTCAAATGGCTGTAACTTTTGAACTAGTAGCCCAATCTTGGAACTGTTTGAAATTATGGATTCTACAGGCCACATTCTATAAGAAAATTTTTTTTCCGGGTCGATCTGAGAAAATTTTTTTTTCGGGGCTCAAAAAAAGGCAGTGTATAACCTTCCTTTTTTACCAAAAATCGACTACACCAAAATTTCTCGGGAAGACACTTTTTCTTATTAATTTGGGTGCGTAGAATCCAAATCAATTCGTACTTTTTCGATCAGACTTCTCAATCAAAAGTTAGACTAGAAACCAATTTCGAAAAAAAATTCAAAGGGCTGTAACTTTTGAACTAGTAGCCCAATCTTGGAACTGTTAGAAATTATGGATTCTACAGGCCACATTCTATAAGAAAATTTTTTTTCCGGGTCGATCTGAGACAATTTTTTTGCGGGCTTCAAAAAAAGGCAGTGTATAACCTTCCTTTTTTACCAAAAATCGACTACACCAAAATTTCTCGGAAAAACACTTTTTCTTTTTAATTTTGGTGCGTAGAATCCAAATCAATTCGTACTTTTTCGATCAGACTTCTCAATCAAAAGTTATAGACTAGAAACCAATTTCGAAAGAAAATTCAATGGGCTGTAACTTTTGAACTAGTAGCCCAATCTTGGAACTGTTTGAAATTATGGATTCTACAGGCCACATTCTATAAGAAAATTTTTTTCCGAGTCGATCTGAGACAATTTTTTTTGCGGGCCTCAAAAAAAGGCAGTATATAACCTTCCTTTTTTACCAAAACTCGACTACACCAAAATTTCTCGGAAAAACACTTTTTCTTATTAATTTTGGTCCGTCCTTCATACTACGAAACATTGGAACTACTTCTCGTTTTGTAGAAAACGGCCTATTTTCGGTCTCTATCTCCCGGACTATTTGTAAAGAGCAATCAATTTACTGTACGACAACATACAATATGCATATAGTGATTCAATATGTAGAAAACTTACGAAATCTAGCATACCGTGTGCTACCAGGACGTGCGGTGTCTGTTGTTTTACACAGAATGAGCCTATAGTAGGATTTTCTTACGTTTTCGCGCACGTCATCGGTGTATTACATCAGAATTAAGTATGTTTACATAGTATCTGCAATCGATAGAACATAATAAGTATATAGGAAACCACACGGACAGTTCTGCATTGTGGTTTGTAAACTGTAGAGGATCGTTGGTGTAATGCGTATACCAACCACAACGTAGCACCGTTAGTATGGTTTCCTACATACTTACTCTATTCAATCGATTGAAGATACTATGTAAACGTACTTAATTCAGATACACAATACAATATGACAATATGACAAAACAATTACATGGCCTACTAGATTCATTTATTGTTAAATTTAATATTACCCTTAACTTCTTAACTATTGTGTTTTGGAAAACGTGTATAAGGAAATTTCGACTTAAAATTGACCTAGGAATATGGTGTTAAGCTATGTCCATCGAATCACGGGACACCCTGTATAGTAGCTATACAGAGACTATTATTATAATGATATTTAATGATATTTAAATACGTAGAGTGTAGACACCGACCCGGGTAAACACAAATGATGCTTTTATACTGGGTCAAACACAGTAAAATATAAATTTTACCTTTGCTGTTTAAAAAAATACCTATTATTTTCGAGCGATAACACTCTTCACTACGTGATTCCGCATTATCTTCTGGGTGAAAGAGTCTTATAAACATTTTTCCTCTAGATGACTCCTTCATGTAGATATGAACACCTTTAGATTTTCCAATCTGGCAACACTGTCTTAATTAGACGCAAGTAGCAAATTGCTAACACTCCTACCACTATAAAATAAAGGCAATAAAAAAATATTAAAAAAATATGAAAGACGACAGTTACAAATGACAGTATGTGACTGATGCAAATTGCAAGATCAAGCTAAACTTGAAAATTCAATTGCATTGATGCCACATTTTAAAAATTATATTACCTGAAGGAATCATCTGGATGAAATTTTTTATTAGACTTTTTTATTCAGAAGATAATCCGAAATCATGTAGGGAAGAGTTTTATCGCTCGAAAAGATACACCCTGTATAATACATATTTCTTAAAACGGCAAATTTATTTATTTGTTTATTTATTTATTATTTTTTTTTTTCCAACTTCATAACTTATTTAACACCTATTTTACATTATAACTTACATGTATTTAATAATTTATTTATTTATTTATCTATTTATCTATTTATTTATTTATTTACCTCAGTCCAGGTTCGAACACCCGACCTCCGGCTTTATAGCTCAATGCTCTACCATTGAACAGCAACAGCCGCGTGTAGATGAATTCGAATTTGTGCGTGCTGTACCTAATCGGATTTCTAATTATTTTATGGACCATCTGTTAATTAGTCCATGAGAGGGATACGTACACTTATGCTACATGTATCTAGAATGGATCAAATATGGTCCTGGTCAGTGGGACTACAAGTATATATTATTCTAAAATGAGTATCCGTGCTATTTAGAGGTTCAGTACTCACTATGTGTGCATAATGGTGCATAGTTGGGCCAATACGTTGACTTAAACTGGTGAGAAATTGAAAGGTTAGTAGACAGTTGTCGAAAAACTTTCGATTTCACGCTCAACACTAAAATTCCTTTAACATTTGAAGGAAAATAGGCAAAATAGTAAAGTAATATATATTATTGAAGGGAATTTAATGCTCTACAACCCTTTTGACGACATTTATTTTTTGGGTGCATCAATGATCCGGTCAAAAAGAGCAAAAAATATGGCGCAAAAGTGCTTTTTTTCCAAAATTACAGACCTTCAAGAGTGGATACCTCGAAAACTTCCCCGAGTAGCAAATTTAATTAGCTTTCATTCTGTTGTATGCAGTGGTCATGTCGCCCCGGCTGTTATTGCCTGGCCGACATTGCATTTAAAAAACAAAAGTCAGCTCTAATTCCGGTTAAACCGGTAGTAAAACCGGAAGTTTCAAAATGCAATCGGATAGATCGTAATGCCACATTAAAATTGTATTAGAACAATTTTTCGAATCTCTCCAAATAAAAGAGATATTATGGTAACCCTCGTATCTCGAACACTCTGTATTCCTAACAAATTCAAACAGCTCGAAGTGTTGAAACTCCAAAATCTGGCAAACTTTCAAAGCATTATCGGAACAATCCTGTTACAGCACCAAGAGAAAGTGCTGAGACAATGCTAACTCTCAAAACCACTGTGCAATAGTATTGAATAATGGCAACAGTGAGTGGGTGTAAAAATACACATATGCACAATTACCTTTGTTAAAGTAATGCCGCCCGTTGAAGATTTTGAAGTCGATATCTGGGAGTTACGATCTTCCGTTGCAACGTTGGATACTACTTGCTCGTGACTAGAAACGGTCGTTGTTCCATTTTCCAAATAAGTCGTTAAATACGTAAACGTCGTTAGGCAGGTCTTCGTTACAAACTGATTAGACTGCAACGTGGAAGCCATGTCAATCTTAAACCCAAGTTCGTCCACAGCAACATTAGAAAAGGCACACTTACATTAGATGACTCCTGAGGTATGATCATCATCATTTGGTCGCTCAGCGTGCTCGGTTTCAAAGTGATTGGTTTGTAGATAGTAGTCGGTAAAATTCGTTTGATATCGGGTTCGCCTGGAAGCGTCGTTTTATCTCCAGCGACAATCACCTCCACTCCGTTTGACATTACTCTTGTTGCCAGATTATACCGCGCTTCTATAGAAAATAAGACGGTTAATAATGAAGAAACTATTTCAATATTATTTTCGCCATATCAGTTGTTTTTATCACTCTCAACTTATCATTCACCATGAACAGTGTAGCCAAGGATACTTAGAGTTCTCAAAAACCTGATCAGACGAAAAATGATTTTCAGAATTGTTCCTCGGTCTCCAGCCTAGTTTCCAAACTTTGTCGTCGACAGAGTAACAAATCTGCACTATACTTAAACGTTAGAACTTTCTTTACACTTTACAATATATTTCAAAATGTACAACGTATGACTCACCTGTTTCAAAAACGAGTCCCCCTGGGGTGGAGTCAATAACAGTCTTTTGTTGGGAAGGTACACTGTCGGTATCCTCCAAACCGTAAAGAGTCAGAGTGGTTAAGATCGTTCTAGCATCTGTTAGTGTTACTGTCTTAGTCTGTGGTTTAATCTCAGTCGTGGAAGTGACAATGTGCTCATCACCATTGACGCGGGTTACGACAAATGTATAAGTTCGTAAACGAGTTTGTACAACGGTCGAAAAGTCGTATTCGGTTGAAGTAAATACACTTGTTCTGGGCGCTGGAGAGCTCTTCAAGCGTTTCTTCTTCACAACAACTTTTCTTCGTGGAAAAGCCGTAGTCGATGGAAGCTTTTTCTTTCGAATAAGAACACGTTTACGAAGTGCTCCGGTCGTTTGTGCTATATCACTACTGACAGCCTGTTCGTCGTCATTCTTATGGACAGGTTGTACTCTAATTAATTTTTTAACTATTCTACGATTTGGTAACGAATTTTCTCTTTTATATCTATAACTAGAATTAATTTTGCCAAACATACTCGAAACGTTGTATTTTTCTGCTAATAAGCGTGGCGGTTGATTACCCCTTTTCCAGAGTAGCGACGTTTCGACCTTCGGCATGAGAGGGGGCAACTCATCAAGGTCACTTATACTAAAAAATTACGGGAACTTATTTTTGCGTTTTCCTCCGTCGAATACTTCTTGGGCCTGTTCAGTTTGGTGGGCTTAACGTTAAACAGCTCGGGCGTTTGCGTCTCGACATATTTACTGACGTCTCCAAGGACACTTTCGAGGCTTTCGGTTTCGAAAGTGGACGCCTGGTTTTCGTAGTAGCTTTCGCCTTCATCATCAGATGCAGAACTGACAAACGAGTCTATGTGGCTGTACGTTTTCAATTCGTCGTTTATCTCGGAGGGTTTCACCAGAACCTCACGTTTGCGCCTCTGCATGCTGTCGCTGTCCGTCACCGTTGACAGTATCGTCGAGAATTCTCCCGGTGTCTTTCCAGAAACGTACAACGTAACAACGCTAGTTTCCTTTGGTGGCGCAGCCGGAGTGATCTTCTTCGGTTTTTTGCGCGAGCTTTTTCGTCTTGGTGGTCGCGTCACGTCTTCAGTTAGGTTGTGTTCCGTGGAATCATCAGACTCGCTCGCGGATTTGTCGTCGAAATTTAGAAAGTCGTACTTATTTTCGAGACCTGGAAATACCTGTTCGGGGTTTAATCCGAATACTCCGGCGGGCTGTTGCAAAGTCGGGGCCTGCTGTTGCTGCTGCAGCAAGAGGGGTAAGAGCAAACTGTTGAGATTGGCGGGGCTCGTAAGTGTGGGAGTTACGACGACCGTATCCGTAATCAGTTCTGTAGCGGTGACGACACTCACGGAGCTGTCCACGATTGTTGTCAAAATCTCTTTGCCTCGAAAGGTAATGGGGATTATCGTAGACATCGCGTTTGTTACCGTGGTCACATAAGTCGTCGATCTTGTTTTAAATTCAGTTGTGGGAGTAGGCGTTTGAGCTAAGTTTTGCAAGCCCAACAGAGGATTTGACTGAAATCCGGGATTGCCAAGCAGTAACTGGGAAAGGAGTATATTGGCCAAAGGAGCTTGGGCAGCTAAAGCGGGTTGTAGAGTTGTCACCACCTGCTCCACTCCGTACGCTGTACTTGGCAAAACGTGCGAATAAGACGTTTTGTAACCTCGAATGTAAGTCGGCGTATATACCACCGTGGTAGTTGGAATCTCATTTAGAACATATCTCGTAATCTCCGTGACGCCATTACCGGCGACATTAGTGGAGTCGCTTCTTAAAACGGTAAATACTTTACCTAGAGAGTTAACGGCTGTAGAGTACTGCTGAGGAATCAATGTTTCCGTACTATATTTCGCGGTGATTATATTCCTGTATTCCGTAATCTTCCCGTTCACCACTGGAATTGTAGCTTCGGTAGGTATGGAGTGCGTCACTGTAATGGTACCATCATTGAACTTCGAAAAGACGTAGTTATCATTTAATTCGCCGGAATTCCGGGAACGATACGTCGTAGTGCCTCTCCTAGAATTCCTGCCACGACCCGTGTCCGTAATTTTTCTACGGGTAGAGTGTTCGGTCGTTGATGGTGTGCGTAATTTTGGAATCTTAGCTCTGGACGATACGGTTGTTGTTCTCCTCGTCGACAGACTTTGAGTATTGCCCCGCCTGTAACTGTTTCTCGCGTTAACCGACGACTTGTCCTTCTCCCTCAACGTAAACTGCGACCTACTCTGCGAAACGGACGCTCTTGTAGGAGATATGCGCTTGGTCGTTTCTGATTTGGGACTGGTGGTAACAGCAGTTCTAGATCTTGGTTTAAAGCGACTTGGTTTTGTAGGTGGGGTCGCTTCAGTTACCGGCTCCTCTTCTTTAGGTGGCGCCGTTGAAGATCGAAGGAACTGAGGTCTCCGAAGTCTCGTGTAGTTTGTGTCACGTTTGGAACGTTGGCGAAACTTAAACGGTCTTACGGATACGTTAGGCTTGCTTAGTTTAGGGGGTGGCGTAGAGACAGTCTGCGTGTTTCTATTAGACCCCTCGTAATCCGTATCCTCTTCACCTTCTTCCTCCTCGAATTCTTCTTCGTCTTCTCCGTCTTCCTCCTCCTCTTCGGGAGCGGGAGTGGTCGTGGTTGTCGCAAATAATCCTCGGCGCGGTAATAAACCGGGCCGCTGCCGATTTTGTAGTGCGGCAATCGGTCTTGTGGTTTTCGGCTTTAACGTTGTCGAAGTTGTCTTAGTGGCGATTTTGCTTTGGAATTTGCTTGGCGGCGTCACTTTCGGTGTAGATGTAGGCCGGGATAGTGGCTTCCTAAACTTCAACAGCGGGTTTTGGCCACGACGAGATAGTTCGGTTGTAGTGGCAACGGTTAATGTCGTTTCTTGAGTCTCATCCGTAAATTCCGTGGGATTTTCTGTAATTTGCGTCGTCAGATCGTTGTCCGCATCATTTACTTCATCAGACGGCGGAGTTTGCGGTTTCGCACTTGCTCTGGACAATGGAGATACCGACGTTGGTCTTATTCGGGCAAATCGGTTACTGCCAGTATACAAGGAACTGGATCGCAACTGGCTGGACGTTTTTGAATTGAACTTTCGAGAGCCGGAAATCGTAGGCGTAGCCTTAATAGTAGAACTCCTCCCGCGAGGAGTAAAGGAATTAGATGAAACAGTGGATGAAAGCGCACTTGATTTAGGACGTACAAATCTTCGAGAGCCTGAAGCACTAGGCTGCACTGCTAAACTGCTGGTTGCACCTGTAAAACTTTTCCGGGCATTAAATCGCCCTCCCGTCTTAGAAGCAGGAACTGCCGTCACCGTGGGTGTAAAATCGGTCCTGGTGATTGTCGTAGCGCCTCCCGGGCCTAATTTGTTGCGCTTCGGCGCAAATGTCGGGCGGACCCTTGAGGAAAATGGCCTAAAGGCCGGTTTAAATGTTCGCTTGCGCGTTTGGAAAGTTAACCTGGACTTTTTCCGCCCATTTTCGGGCGTTTGAGAATTTTCTTGATCTTCCTCATCGTCTCCCTCCTCGAGATCTTCTCCTTCGGTTGTTGTTTCTTCGTCGGCCTTCGTTACGTCGGTTAATGAGCTTTCAATTGCCACGTGTGAAGGTGTAACAAGTGTATTCGTAGGCAAGATCTTCTCGTCCGGCATTTGAGTCGCGGTCGGGCTAATGCCCGAACTTGGCGTGAAGGAAATTGACGGTTCTTTAGTTTTGTCTATGATAAAGCTGGATGTGCTTTCAATTATTTGCGCATATCTTCCATCTATAACTGTTCCTATCACTTTCGACTGATAAAGTGTCGTTGTACGATTTTGAACGATTGACCCTTCGATTAGTCGAACTAGCCCCGTCCGATGCTTTGGTTGCTCCTCATTTGCAAGTAACGATTTTTTTGCTTCGTCAATATTTAACGAACTCGTACTTTCGATCACTTGCGCATATAAATTATCTATGTACGTTCCGATGGCTTGAGTGGTATAGTATAATGTGCTAATTTCTTGGGCATCGATAATTTTACCTTGATTTAAGCTAACTACACCTGTTGGTAACACTGTCGTTTGCGAACTGGTTGGACTAACACTGTCAGTAAGTGTTAAGGTTGTACTTTCGAGAACATTTGCGTAAACGCCATCGATGTACGTTCCGTACACGTCAGTGGATAAAATGGTTTGGATTCCAGAGTTATTTATGGTAGAGGCAAGGGTCGATAGTAGTCCTGTTGGCAGTAAAGATACGCTAGGTTTTGTAGCAGATTCAATTTGATTTTGTTCGATGGTTCCAATGGATCTACCTATTTGGTTCGCCTCAATTTGCTGAGTTTCATTCACAACGTTAGTTACGGTGTCCAGCCTGCTATTAATTACCGTACTGTCATCAACGTAAGACGTAGTGTAGTACGTATAAGTTGTATAGTAAGTCGTTAACTCGTCTTTCTCCTTTGTGACTTGCGTTGGCACCACATCGGCAGTTGTACTGTAGGTGACTTCGATAGGTGTAACACTAATGCTTGGCACGACCATCGACTCCTTTACTGTCGGTGATACCACGTTCGAAATTGTTTCTTCGCGGCTAGTAACGCGTGTAACACCATCCTTGTAGAGGGTAGTCCAATAAGTGAAGGTGGTAAAGTAAGTAATTGGCAAACTCAGATCTTCCAAGCTTAACGAATGGGTAGGTGTTAATGTTTCAGTAATGACATTTGTAATAGTTTCTAGCCGACTGACAACATTACTACTAGTCGTTCCTTGGTACATGGTGGTGAAGTAAGTGAATGTTGTGTAACTCGTTTGCAATAAAAGAGTGGGCGATGGTAGGATATCCGAATCATTATTGGATTCTGCTACCATCTGATCCTCTAAAACATTACGATTATCAACGCTATCAATGATTCTTCTTTCCCCAGTTGAGGTGCTACTCCTCACATCGGTTACCATGGTAGAAATTGTTTCATATTCGGTCGAATTTCGATCGTTCCCGCGGATCATGGTGCTATACTTCTTGGTGGTCGGATCGTCATTGTTCGTTTCGCCGCTCTCATCTGCGTCCAAATCGTCATCTTGGTACCCATCCGTTGTCACCAACATCGTGGGCACCACGTTAGCCTGTTGCGTTTGTGTAACATAATTTGTGTAAACCTCGGTTCGGCTCGATATTTCCGTTTCGCCATCAACAAAAATAGTGGTAAAGTATGTATATGTAGTGTAATAGGTTTTCACTCCGCTGGGCATTATTTCGCCCAAACTTGGCGTGGCCCTTACTAAATCCTGGTCTAAAACGTTTTCTTGGATATCTTCATCGGTTAGTGGATAACTAACGGTAGGCCTGCCGATACCCACACTAGTAGGGGAAATATCGACGATATCGTCAAAGGATGGCGGTTTCGATTTGTATAACTCTCCTCCTCGGTTAAGTAGACCCGCCACTGCCGGATCTGTTATCTCGCTTCCGGGCTCTAAAGTGGACGTAATAACGTTGGTAATCACTTCCTTTCGACTAACAATCGACGATGTCGTGTCTTGGAAGAAGGTCGTCAAGTAAGTGTATGTCGTGTATAGAGTCTTGAAGAGAACCTCTATTTCCTCGCCGTTTTCAGTTGTCATTTCGCTGGCTTCGGGTTCTGATTCGGTCACGTGCCGTTTTTCCGTTGTTATTTCCAATGGAGTCGTTTCGACTGGTCTGGTCACATCCGTTACCGGTTCCGTTGTTTGCTCTTCGGTGGTCGTCGTGTCGCGAAGAGTCGTGCCATCTTCTTCGGTTGTCGTCACAAGTTCTTGCGTTTGCGAAACGGTAACCGGCATTATTGGGGAGGCGGAAATTGTGCAAGATTGCGTTTCAAATCCTATCTCGGTGGATACCACTTTATTTGATCTAACGGAGGTGGTAGTGCTTGTGTCATCTTGCGGTATGAAGAACGTTGTTAGATAAGTTAATGTTTTATAAGCAGTGGTCGGTATTATTTGCACACCTGCTGTGCAAGTAACATCTGTTTTGGTTTCGTTTAATTCGAGATGCGGTTCTGGAGATGTTATTTCAACACTGTCAGTTGTGGTTTCTTCAGTTTGCTGTAGGCTGTCCTCTTTTGCTTCGGTACTGCTGGCAAGTGTTGTAGATTGGGCGGGCTCTTCTTCCTCTTCGACTTCTTCTTCGACATCTTCTGTGACTGTTTCTGTAGTGGTAGTGGTGGGAGTTGGTGCGGTTTCCTCTGGTTTTTTTGTTGCATCATCAAAAATAGCGGTGTTTTCGAGTATAAAATCGTCATCGAAAAATATTGTAGTCGCTCCTCCCGTGCCTGTGGTAGCTAGTTCTTCGACGCTTGAAAGAGTCGGTTTTTGCTCATCTGTAGTTAGCGTAGAAATTTGCAAAGGTTCGGTGGGAACACTACTTTGCGCGGCTTGCAATGATGCCAAGATTTTTGCGATATCCTCTTCCGAAGGAGTGGATAACATAGGTATTTGACTTTCAGATGGTTCAATTGCGGCTGACGATAAGAATGTGGATTGGGTTTCTTCTAACGTAACCGTTGAGGGTGTCTCAATCTGAGGGGTTGGTAATTGTTCGTATGTAGATATTTTTTGTTCATGTGCCAAAACCGAAGATTTCGCGTCCATATCTTCGTGCTGTTCCGTTTCGGGTGTTGTCGTTTCTCGAGGACGATCACTAGCGTCGATTACCATCGTATGCCTTCCATCACCTTCTACGTCAAACTCTTGAGACATGTACACCTTTGTGGAAGGTTTCGGCCTTTTAATAGTAAACGATGGCTTTAAAGACAATTGTGGAAGACGCACTGTCGGTTTTACATTAATTGAGGAGGCACGAATCGGTGGACGTATTAATTGTTGCGTAGTACTTGTAGATTGACTTAACGTCTGTTGTATTGTGGCTTCAACAGAGATAGACGTTGCTTTTCCCACGTCATACTTTGGCGCATTCGACGTGTGCGGTGAAAATACGATCACCGTGTCGCCGACGACCGTTGTAAAATCGGCAAAACCGGTGTACGTGACAGTTGGCAATTTCTTTAACTCCGACGGCGATTTTCCCGACAAAAACAGCAGTTTTGCTTTACGCTCCGCCGACGTCGTCGATTTACTCCTTTCCGTCGAATCAAAATGCGGCAAATCTCCCAGGAACGACAACCCGCTTGGAGAAAACTCATTGCGTACGGTGAAAGTTGGGAGGGTATCCCGCTCCCTTACCTTAGATATCTTCAAAATGTTTCTGTCGAACTCTTTATGGTTAATGCCATTGTCATGGTTTATTTCATTCTGTTTTTGTGTTATGTGAAATATTTTCCTGCTTTCTCCATCGTTTCTCCAAACGTCGTCGACGTAACGAATTCTTGCATTGTCAGACGGTGACGATTTCAGAAGTTCTTCGTCTTCTTTATCCAACTTTTCCTTCTCCACGAATTTGTATTCAACTTTACTGGTGGGAAACACCAAATAGGCTTCTGGTTTATTTGGGGAGACGAAGTCTATGTTTTTAATAAAGTTTTGGGTGTTTATCGAATTGTGGTCGACTTTCCAGTTTTTATTTAAAACATCGCGATCGGAAAGCGTATTTTTCTCTTTGTCGTACAACACTCGCGAACTTTTCGTGAGGAGGTGTGCGTACAAACGTCCATTGTCAAGTGTGGTACCAAGTACCTGGGTCGCATAGTGTGTCGTTACACCTTCTTGTATAAAAGTACGAGCAGTAGATGTTATTAGACCAAGATCCGGCTTTACACTCAGGAAACGACCAAAAGTTGAAGGTCCTTGATTGTTCACCAGCAATACTGTCGTTACATCTAAGCGAGTTGGAAAGATAGATTCAGTTTATACATTAGAAGGAAATGAGTGATGTTCTGGTTTTATAATCGTCTGACAAAGATGTCGTTGCTCCTTCTGAGACGATCATCAAACCAGCGAAGCAAAGATAAAGAACACAATTTCTACATTGCAAAATTTACTATAGTTCTCGAATTAAGAGGGCTCTACAATAAAACCAAGTTAATTCTACAGTGACAGAGGCAAGTGATTTTCCGAATTTTGATTTTTAGATCTTGCTTCCTTATTTTTTACGATTCTAATCATTTTTAACTTCAGGTCAAATGAAAACAGTTGACAGAAGGTCCTTGAAGTTGGAGGTACGACATTAAGATCGACACGCTGTAATTTTGTGCTCATTTTGTGCCAATTTTTGGCGTATAATTCAAACTTTGTGCTCAAACCATAATGGAAATATTCAAAATGTTTAGTCGGTCTCGGTACCTACCTCCAATTTTCCGTTGGAGGCCAATGGGCAGGTATACTTATTTATGTTTTTGACACAGTAGTTTTTTGTTCTAAACAATAACGTGTTTATTGCAGTGTTTATACTTCAATTGGATTTCTGTGAGTTTTGTTGTTACACACTAGCGATTATTTATCGGATCAAGGATTGTATCGCCGCCTTGACATTCGTTCAAAGAATTTATTTCAGAACTCAAAACGCAATAAATAATCCAAAAAAAATTGAAATTAAAAGGGACACACGCCCATTACATTCACCCCACACGCAGGTGTTCGTGCGATATTCCGACGCACTTACCATTAATATACCAAAACACCGCTTAAAGAAATCGTCACCACTTTTCTACTCGAGTACCAACTGGCTTAATTAACACAATTACTAATTTTCAATGCGTTGGCTGTTCAAAACGGGTAACACTTGACTTTTATTAAGCAGAAGAACCTTCCAACAAAGTGCTTTACAAAACCGACGTAACTTGTTAGTTAACGGACAGACCACACTAACTTTTCACAAGACTTTAAGTTAATTGCATTTGCACAAATTATTCTGAGTTACTTCATAAAATTAGCGTACTAGAGACGTCCACGTTCTTTTACCCTTCGTAGCTCCTTATTTTTGCTTTTTAAACGGAACACCCCTTCCACCAGGTCATCATAATTCGCTCTCCGTCAAATTGAATGAAACACGTATAAGGAGCGCTCGAAGTGTTCCCTCTTCCATAACATAATTACACCTGTAACTCTTGTTATCAGCGCTTAACACACATGCTCCTCGAAAATCGATTAATTTTCGCGATAGCAACGTGCTTATCGCATCCGAGCAGATAGCACTTAGATAAATGCACTTGACCAAATGTTCCTTAATTTTAAATAACGCAATTTTAACATCTTATACTGTTAGCAAATTTACTTGAATGAAAAAACTTAAAGGAAGAAATTAAGCAATTAAAAAAACAAAGCTAAAATAGACAAATAGACTTCTTTGTGTTAAAATCCATTTACACATACAGGATGGCCCGTCCTTATTCCAACCTAAGAACGTTCGCCCGGGGTTGTTTACACAACACTATATAACCTCAATTCAGAGCCGAGTATCTTTTGGCAACAACGTAACTAATAATCGCAGGGCGGCACGTGTGCAAGCATTCATATGATTGTACGAGTATTGGCGATCTAATGGTGGGTTTATACAATCATTGCTATCATCCGATCGTTAAGAAATAGCCAATAGAATCAAAGGTTTATTGTGCGTCGCCATCCAACGAAACATACTTTTGTTTCTATTGGCTATTTCTTAAGGACCTAATGATAGTCAACTAATGATAATGATTGTATAAGTCCACCATAAATTCGTCACATAACCTAGTTGTACGATTTGTGTTTGTGTGCAAACGCCCTTATTAAAAACGTTACATATGGCGGCCGTGACAGGACCTCTAAGAAATATTTCGTAGTTTTCGAGATTGATTATAGAAAAGGCACGGTTAATTTTGGGTCCTACACAAAAATGTATGCATCAATAAAAGACCATAAATCTACATTCAAATTGAAAGCAGCATTGGGTTCTTGAGAATAGACGTTTGAGGAAACATCGGTTCTAAATACTTAGAGATATTTTTTTGTTTTCTGTTACAAAACGATGTTAGTGAAGATGTTTTACTATAAGAAACTGATGATTGAAACGAATATAGTAAGAAGTTTCGCTTGTTCGCAGAAGAAATTCTTAGTATATTGGAAAAAAGAGCAGAGGACAACATTATTCAACAATAAAGAAATTTAAATTGCCACGATTAGAACAATTTGATGGAGAATTATCTGAATGGATACATTTTTGGGGTCTTTATTGACGAAAATACATTGAACAATGTTGAAAAGTTCAATTTTCCATTTCAATCTACAAAACCGGCATCTCGGGTACGTAGAGTTATTGAAAGTTTTCCTCCGACGATTTCAGAAAATTATCCAAAAGCCTTAGAAACGTTGAAAAATCGTTTTGGCAGAGAGGATCTACCTATAGAAGTGTATATACGAGAGCTTCTGTGTTTACTGACTCATCCGTCAATTTGACATTGCCTGACTTGTATGATAAACTAGAATGTCAAATTCGTTCTTTGGAATCTATTGGAGTGACTACAGATCGGGACGGTAGCCAGAGGGGGGCAAGAGCGCCCACCCTTGGGACCCGCTTTGCCTACTCTTGAAAGTTTCTTAATATGACTCAATATAGCATGCTCAAAAATGATCATATATTTCTAAAAAATTAAACAAAAGAAGGTATAGAAACATTCAACCATTTTAAGGAGCGATCCGCGATATTATCTGAGAAAGTGTTTCAAGGTGAAAGGGTTTTTATAGTGTATTTTGTATCATTAAATGAGTTGGGTTTATTGTCCCTACATAATATCACAATTGTGTTATATTGTGATAATATCATAGTATAATATCATATTATAATTATTAATAATATATTATTATCATTTTAATTATTTTGTTTACCACCTGCAATCAGGCACGGATTTAGCATGGGGCCATGGGGGCCCGGGCCCATAGTGATCAATTTTTAGGTGCGGCAAAAAACCAAATTTGGGAAATAATTACTTAATTAATATAAAAAATGTTTCTACTACCATTGATTATACACACAACGTATAATCAATGCTACTACTAATTAAATCAATCTGAGCAAATTAGGAGAAAGAAAACCGTATTAATACTTTTTTGTAAAGAGTAAAAAACATTGCATATTTCTAGAAACAAATTTTGATTAGGGTATAATGAAATGCTTTCAATTATTGGGGGAGGAGGGGGGCATAGGCGCAAAATATGTAAATCTTGCCCTGCCTGCAATGCGTAGTACAGGTATACGAGAGAGGTCTACAAATGACTTTTAACCTTTATGACAGATTTTGGATCCCTAGGAACCCCATCTCAATGATCATCAATCCCCATGTCTGTGCCCCTATTTCCTGTCAAACCACTAAACCAAAAGTAACTAAAATAGGCACACGCGTTCATGGGCATAAGGTGAAAACCTGAAAAACTTGTGCTTATTTTTTCATTTATTAAAAAAATCAATTAAACGTTATGCTACCAAATGATGCGAACTGTATTTTTTTAGAACAAAGTAAACCAAAACCACCACGTGTGTGTTTCCAGCGCAACCTACTCACATGGGCAGACGGACAGACTAATTTAAAAGCGATACGATCATTTCTTGGGTATCAATTGATTGAGTTTAGTCTTTTTCCCAAGAAATTGGTGAATAGAAAGGATTTAGATCGATTTTACGCCATAAAGCGATTGATACCAAAATTAATTTTTGATAGTATGCACATCTGGAACTCATACAGTGAAAATCTGATATCGATACGAGGTCTTGTTCCCAAGAAAATCGGTACACAAATAACGATTTTGATATTTTTGCCCAAAAATATGTCACCAAAAATGCACATGGACCACTCCGTGGGTATTGAGCAATCGAGTTCACCAAGAAAATTGTGCATAATTAACGGTTTTGATATCTTTTGTGTAAAAATATTTAGGTCACCGAAAATACATCTTATTTATTTATTTATTTACTATCCTTCTCTTATTCTGGGCCCTCAACAGACTTGCGCCCAATTACAGAGTGACCCGCATAATGCTTTTTAGAGGTGCCTCTGCAGAACGTCTTAAGTTGTTCTATACTACTCCGTTATTTACCTTACGAATTAGGAAAACTGCAGGGAAACCTAATTCGGTGTAGCCGGAAGAATGCTCGAAACTTGTCTAAGGTAATTCCCATCTCTGGCACACCCGCCCTCCGGATTTATACTCCAACTGAACCAAATATGGTCATAGAACAATCGAGTTGGATCTTTTTCCTAACAAAATTGGGGCATAAATAACGACTTGGACCGATTTAGGGCAAGAAAGTGGTAAATGAAACAGGTAATCTTTGATAGTTGCACACCTGGAACTCATAAGCTTTTCATATAACGAAAACCCGAAGTCGATACAAGGTCTAGCGACTGAACTATAGCGCTGAACGACAGACAGTCGGACGGAAATGTGAAGATATAAGCGCTCACTTTCGTGGTTGCGCTAAAAAGAATTTCTTCAGCGGGTGGTATCTGCGTGGCCCACAGCAATTATTCATATTTCGCCCGCCCGCTCAGTAGATTTATTTGCCCGCCCTTAGTAATCACTTTATAACTTTTACCAACAACAGCAATAGAAGTTACTGTATTTTTTGTAACAGTGTAGCGTAAGGTGGGAGTATATTCCGTACACATTACAGTAATTAGATCATTTGAGTTGTATAAACAATAGCAATTGTTACTTGCTTGGTATATTTGTCAAAACTGAACACCTGAAACTTTTTAATAAAGTGAAATCTTCAAACGATTGTTTAAATATTCAAGCAGACATAAATGCAGTGATAAATTGGTGCAATAAAAACAAACTGAAGCTAAACATAGAAAAGTGCAAAGTTGTATCGTACACAAGATCCAACAATCCCACGATTTTTAAATACGAAATAAATGGCCAGGATATCCAAAGAGTCACCTCGGATAGAGATTTGGGCGTTTTATTCAATAGCAACTTAAATTTTCATCGGCACATTGAATCCCTTATAAATGCGTGCTACAAAGTACTAGGCTTTGTAATTAATTAGGAATACCTACAATTTTACAAGCATTTCCTCAATTATTACCTTATACAATGCGTTCATCAGATCCAAACTCGATTATGCGGCATGTATTTGGACACCCCAAACTTATAAGCACGCAGACATGATAGAGAAAGTTCAAAAAAATTAGTGCGAATAGTGTATTTTAGGTCGACTCAAAATTTTCCACATTTAATCTACTCCAACCAACTAAAATTTTTAAATAGTGTGCACGGTATTAAAATCTCAAGTTTACAAATCCGACGCGAAGTGATCTGTGCTACCTTTGTGTACAAGATACTGAATAATCACCTAAATGCCCCTTCAGGAAATTAAACTCAAAGTTGTTAAATTAAGGAAAAACGATATCATCTTTTTAGTGACCACTCCGTCATCGCCACTATCGAGGAGCCTGTTGGCTTTAAATAAGAAGTGCCGTGAGAGAGACATCGATGTATTTCACGGCTCTTTGAATGAATTAATTAGTCATATAACATCGTAATTACTGTGTAGTTTTAGTTTTAAGTACAGCACCCCAGTGCCATGTAATTGGAATAATTGTATTCTGTATGGTATCTGGCTAAACAAATAAATAAATAAATAAATAAATAAAATATAGATTTCGAAAGATTTGCATTTTTATTTGGAAAAGTTACAGTTAAGGCTGGAGCACAAAATACGACCAAAATTGGCACAAAATGGGCACAAAATTATGACATTGTAATATTTTGAATTTGACAAAATCCAGCGTTGGAGGTAGCTACTACCAACTGAAAATTGTTAATATCTCCGTTCAGCAAAAAAATTGCATTGCTTCATGTCGTACCTCCAACTTCAGGAACCTATTAATAGACGCGCCAATAAACAAAATTATTACTGATAGCTATTTCGTTGTTAGTTCCCGTTTTTCAATAATTAATGGTGACCATATAGCCTTGTACATTACCAAGGCTTTAGTTACTTTTGTTTATGTTTAATTTAAAATTTAAAAAAAAAACAATAATTAAACAGGAACAACTGACTTAAGACCAAACACTGGCAATTATTGTCTTCATGGCCTACTATAGATACCTACTTGAAAAAGGCAACTTTTTGGTAAATCCTTAGAAACGTAAAAAAGAACATTCATTGTATAAAGTCACGATCCACCTACTCAGTTGCAATTTACCGAGTAATTACATATAGCACTTTTTTCTTTAAAGTTTGCAATTATAAATAATAAAACATCCATGCAAGAGCCAGAAGTGCAAATCTTTTTTCTTTTCCGAATCTAAAGATCTTCACCCTGTATGTATCTGTCATTTCTTTGTGACATTACAAGAGTGTATAATTAAAAGGACAAACGATCAACGTTAGTATAATACTCTCGCTCAATTAATCTGCATAGTGTGATTTGGCCCCACACCATATTTGGCTTGTCTATTAGCTAATAGAGTTTGTTACACTTTTTACTTGTCGTAGAGATACAAAAAAAAGCCGAAAGGTTTATTAAAACGGTACATAAAAATAATTTTGTTTTCAATTAGATCCTTGACATTTAAATTTAAATACACGTAGATACAATGTCTATTATGTAAATATAAATAGATGTGCTCATTTTCTGCAAATCACTTCCTCATCGTACCGCAAAAATCGTTAGAGAAAGTTAGTTGTAGAAGTACCCGCCATAAAGCATCAGTATTGAAAGAAATATTTACTATTTTTTTACACGCAGTCATGCTTTATACACCCTTGAACTACGTATTATACAAAGAGGTCGCTAAAATTCTCACCGTTGTCATTTTGTCGCCTCCTCCTCGGTGACGAATCGATAACATCCCCTGAAAAAAATTCAAAAATTAATTGACACGAAGACGAAACCGTGGTAAGATTAAAGGGTAGGCCTCGATCTCTTTGATTTATGATTATGCACCAACTGGTCGTGGCCAGTGTAACGTAAAATACTACCCCCAGGAGATTCCCAAAATAGTTCGATGGAAAGTTCTCGACCGCGGATAAGTACACGCGTCGCAAGAATTAGCAAAAATGAAGTAATATTATCTTCAATGTTCTTTTTAATTGAACTGCTCCGGTTAATTCATGAATGGCTAGACAAATAAACCTCGCCCAGTTTTTAGAGAATGAGTAGATCCAATACCATACCTAACTTTCTTAGAAAATATGCGCGAGTTAATTATATACTTTAGTTCCTCGAGGAAAAGTTACCAAACGTTTCTTTATAATGAAAGTCAACTGAAAATATTGACATAAAAACGTGGCAACCAAATAAGTATTGTCAATATTATGGTATTGAAAAATTTGGGGAAATAGAAAATGTGCCCCGTTACACACACTATGCACCTGTAATATTTGACTTTGTTTAGTTGTCGTTGCTTTTGTGCGTGTTGGATTACTAAACCTACACGAATAAAATGAATTTCATATTTATCACAATAGCATTATCGCCACTTTTGTAAAAGATTTATGGAATACACATTGGAGAACAAAACCCTTTCATGTACCTAATGCAAAATCAACAATAGGGGCCAGAAACGTTAAAAGGTACTGTTGACAGGCTTTTGATTTAAACTATTGACCTTTTTCTTTCATTCTTAACCTTCCTAGTAGTAATAGTAGGTAGTAGTAGTTTTCTTAACACATGTTGTATATATTAATTATGTTTACCGGATTTCTATTAAGATATTGATAAATATTCATTTATTTATAAAAATTCAACGGAATTTTAACGTTCAACTTACAAATTACATTCTTGACATATTTTGGTCGACTTGCAGTGGACTGGGCATACAAAGTTCGTACATTGTACCAGTTTCGATGTCACCTCCGTACCTCTATTTTTGAATTTATGTTTCATTTAAGTGTAGAAACTTTACATATGTAACGCTTAACAATTTAAATACCCATTTAAATGATATTCTGAAGCCATCTATGTATTTCCTTTAGTTTAGATGTAGTTAGTTCAATAAATAGGTTTCATTCACGATAGTTCTTTATTTTCGCCGCTAGAGGTCCATGGCTGAAATTTTCTTTCCTGCATGCGCACTACTACAACTCCTCCCTGCACTCAACCAGATTCGATCGATTACTTCCAAAAAAGATACACGCCATATTTTCTTCTTCCATCTTAGTCACACCTTTTTAAACGGGTTTTTAATGGATATGATATTTTCTTGGAGTTTTTCTCTTCTGATTTGTTTTCTATGCTTCATTGAAATGATTATTGTGGATTTATTTAAAAATTTTAAGGCAGTTTACGACTTTTTATTGCTGGCATATTCTTTTCTTCATTATTGTCTACCCATAGATATCCTTTGTAGAAACCCCAGAATTTTGGAATCCTCATTATTGCACAACAAGGAAGGTTCATTGGAAAAGGCCACCGCCATTTTATATGAGACATTACGTGATACCTATACCTGGTAATCTACTTACATCGAAGTTATTTAGATTTGAATATTGTTCTTGTTTAACTACGAGTATTAACGAAACCTTTTGGCGATTATTGCTTTTGTAAATTGTTCGATTTTATCTACGTTACTTTTGTTGTTCCGAAGATTCATTTGTACTAGCTTAACTACCCTTCCTATCCTTTATATTAGTCTGTTTACCGATTTAGTGAATGACTTTTGAAGTAGCTTAGTTTTTGAAGTTACCGAAATCTATTCTGAAGCCGACATTTACAATTTTTATTAACGTTACCTGTGTCATTACGAAGAATTTGTTCGTGCTAATGTTGAATTAATTACATTCAATTTGTTATAAATTTAGTTATTTGTGCATCGTTACGTAGTTTTTTTTTTAGTTAACGTCACGTTTATGCTTCACCGACTTGTACGGCCGAGGTGTTGTTAATCAAAATTTTGCTTTTGTTTAGTTAACATCAATTTAATTATTGGTTGTTATTGAATGTTAATTACAGTTTTAGTATTCGAGTTACCTGATCAGTGTCGAACCTTAGACATTGCTATCGCAATATTTATATGCCATGCCATTCATTATCCCTCTTGTGTTTTTAAGTGAAACTTCTTTAGGCCTGGTAGGGCAAGCCGAATAACTACGTGTGCCAGCGGACACGGTCACCAAAATAGTGAAGTGAAACGCTCGTAGGGGAATAAGTGGAGAAAGCACCGGTTCCCCCACTCCTCATACCGGCACGGTGGAAATCGGAGCATGTGTTGCCCCCATGAAAGACTGGAAGGGGAATTTTTCTCAGACAATGCGCCGCCTTGTGAGTAAATGTAAACGCAAAATATTGACCTATATTTATATGAAATTCGTTTACATTTCAAACTAGGGAAGTTTCATTTCTGTCGTGTGTATTTCCTACACACAGTTTTTTTGGGTTTCTATTGTCACAGATAAGGCAAAAAAGTGCCCTTCTGAATTCAGGCGGCCGTTACGACCAGAGTTAAAAGTTAATATTTTTATTTTCAACGAGTCCTTGATATAATGTTTAATTACATACTGATTTTCAATACAATCGAATTGCAACTACTACATTTGACATAATAGCTTCGTTGGTTTCTGCGGAAGCCCTTTTTACTAAAAATAAAGTTAAACAAGTAAAGAGCTATTCTTAAATTGCGACCGTATAAAGTTAAACTAAAAGGGCAAATTAAACGAAGAAGAAACAAGTTATAAATCAGCATATGCATGATTAAAGCGCATTTTTTGGTAATACAGGTCAGTATTTTATTAGCGAAGTTTTAAATTATCGATTTTGGCTGCGTTACACAAGTAATTTAACTCAAAATAGACTAGAGCCTGCACATCTACACTATAGCAGAAGCTTTTAGTGAAAATTGGAAGTCTCTAGCTATTGTAGTTGCTGAGATCTCACCCGGACAGCCGGCCAGCCAGCCATATCGAATATGATTTTTGAAAAAATCAAATAATAAGCGTAAAAATTACCGTATGCGGAGTAGTTGGAGTTTGGCTTTTTTTGTACTGAAAATTTCCATACCACGAGAGACAGCTCTGTACCAGAGAGAGTCTCAAGGGTTCACCTGTATCACCCAAAAAGCGATCCAGTTTTCAATTTTATTGGAGAGAGCCTTTTTCAAGGGAATGCCGTACCATTCGTATATGGTCGGTTATCTTTAAGAATTTACAGCGAATGTCATCTACAAGCGAGTTAAGTGAATGTGTCATTTATCACACCACAGAAAGAATTACTGTGGAATCGAACGAATTAAAGATTATCATTAAATACGCACGTGTCCATAAAATAAATTAAAACAACAGTGTTTCAACCAAGGACAAACTAATTAATCGCGCCAGCATATTTTCTGTTCCGTCACAATTAATTATAATAGTCATGTTCTGGCATAAATGTCAATACTTCCAAAATATTGAGTCCTCAGATTGAGGTTCCGCGGTTACGGGTAGGACATATTTAATGATTCGGCTCGATTAATAAAAGAGGCAAAAGCATTCCGCCGCTAAGGGAAAAGTAACTTCCATAAGGGTTGGCAAAAATGGGTTTTTCCACATTTCGGTTCGTAACTTTTGAGATTTTGCTCTTACGATAATACAATGAAATTTTTCGAACACCGTGATTCGCTTCTGGGGGTGGACAAGGGGAGGTGATGTGAAATATCGGACATACGCCCTTTGCGAACAGTAACAAATAGAACAAAATTTCCAATTGCATAAAAGTGCGACACAGTTTGCTCTTTGCAAGTATACCATTAGAGTGGCACGTACGGGGGTCGTGCTATAAATTTTTAAGCAGAAATAAACCGTTACCATCAGAAATCGTGTTTAGGTTAGGAACTATTACGAGTCGAGTCGGTGATGTGTTACTTTGACTGGCGCGGGTTAGGGCTTTCGTTTCAAGCACGATTTACAGTCCTAACGATTTTAAAATCTAATCGGAGAGAGGGGAGGAGGCCAAGTCTTATGCAAACTAAATTAAAAATTAGTGCAAGTGTTTGATAATGACCTTTTTTTCTAGATTAAAAGTCAATATTTCCTAAAAACCGCATTAATTTTTAGAAGATTACACATTGAAGGCGGTTCAATGAGAATAATCAATCGTGACGACGATCTGATTCGAAATTTTCACTTTAAGAATATTACAGAAAAAACTAACCGTTCTATTAAAAAAAAATTCATGTTTTCCGATGCTCTTTTGTTTTTATGTCACTTGTTTTTCTTGAATACGTAGCTTTATCAGAAATGTTACACTATTTTCCTATCTCCAATAATAAAAGAAATATACTGTAACGGAAACGCTCCAGACATGATGTCACCTTTGGCGCTCTGGAATTTTCTACGCGCGCGATAGTGGGATTTGTGTAGGAATATTCGAGACTGTACGCGAATGTTCCTGGACTTACATTGCTTGCGTGTATAAATGGTTGCGGACCGAACATCGCGGCAGTTTTACTATCGAACGAGATCGAGTACGGACGAAACATTAGAGCGCGGAAATATAAATTGCGAAGTGTGTGATATAAATAATCGATATAAATTGTACGGTTCTTTTTATAGTGTTTAGTTTTGTTTAATAAATATTGATATAAATCGAACCCGAATTTATAAATCACGTTACAATACGCTTGGAGTTGAACACGCAAAATCAATCACACTGTACATATTATGTTCTTTGGTGTTGGGGATCAGGATTTGGCGTAGTGATCTATGAAAAAATGAATAATTTTCTTTTGCACATTTGGTTCATTAGGGAAACATTTTCAGTATTAAAGTGATTTAGACCACTTAGCAAGTGTGTAAAGTGACAAAATCTTCCTGGCTATATAGTAGACAATAAAAAATCACACCAGTGATTTAGTATTCAACAAAATTCCATTGCATC